TGGGGAAGGGCAGGGGGCTGGGCACGGGGTGTGGGGGTTCATGCCATCCAGCTAATTCTCCTCCCGGACAGGCCGGATCTTCATCTCGGTGAACTTGAGGGAGTACTGCCAGCCGGTCCAGGAGGACCACTCGATGCCGTCGGCGTAGGAGCTGTGGTGGCCCTTGAGGTACTGCCCGTTGAGGTTGGAGGTGTGGCAGTTGCGGTACCACCAGGCGCCGTGGTAAAAAGCTGCGCAGTTGTTCTCCGAGTGGTCGTTGTCCAGGTCCTTGGTAGTGAACTTCATCCCGTTGTGCTTCAGGAAGGAGTCACCTGCCGCCAGGGGAAAGGAGCCGTGATGGGCCCTTCCTGCCCCTCACCCTGCCTTTGGGCTGTTTCCCACCCCAGCGGGCTCCTGTGGGCACCCCAATGGGGCACTTGGGGTCACCCACCCTGCAAACACCCAACTGCAGCCCCTTCCTCTCCTTCTTCCAGCTCCCCATGGCTGCAGGGACGCAGCCAGCACTGCTGCCAGCGCCGGAGGAGACCACTAACACCCCAGCGAGGAGATGTGGTGGCTGTGGGCTCCCTTGCCCCATGGGACCACACATGTCCCCCCACACCATCGCCCTACCTGCTGTCCCCGAGTAGTCAGCGATGGAGACGGGGTACCCGTCCTCCTCGGGGTCGACGGAGAAGAGCCCCACGCCGAAGCTGCCGTAGTGGGCAAAGGCGGTGCCGTTGTCGAAGTCCTCCAGGTCGATGCGGAGCTCGTAGCTGCCCTGCACTGTCAGCACGTGGATCCGCTTCAGCCCTGCGGCAGAGGGAGGGGGTGAGTGTGGGGACCCCGGTGGGGAGCGGGTGGCCAGGGGTGCCTGGGGAGGGGAGTTGGGGCAGGACAGGGAGCAGTTCCCACCCTCCAGCCCTCGCTCTGTGGTTGCTGCACGGCCAAGGGCACGTGCTCAGTTTGTGGGCAAAGAGCCCCATCGCTTCCCTGTCCCTGTGCAGCCACTGGGTCCCCTCCCCGCCTGCCCTGGCCATCACTCTTGGGACGTGGGTGCTGGCCGGGGGGGGTGTCCCAGTGTCCCTTCCTTTGCAAAGGAAACCCCAGACCTCCCTGGGAGAGGGGCTGGGGGTCCTCAGGCTTTGCCATCCTGCCCCGAGAGGAGCACTGCCAGCCCCACGCACCTAACCAGTGCTCTCCTGTCAGCTTCCCGAAGCCATCCCGGTAGGCTTCCCAGCCACGGAAAAAGTTGACGGAGCCATCCTCCCGCCGCTGAAACACCTGGGGAGACACGTGGGGCATCAGTCACGGGGCTGCTCCGAGCCTGTGCACCCCGAGCAGCCCCTCTGCTCCCCACCCCTCCCCGCCGCCGCCTTAGTAGACACAGGCACAAATTAAACCCTTTCAACTCAGTAATTACACAGGGATGGTGGCGAGCAGGTCCCCAGGGAAAGGCCGGATCATTATCTGACTGCTCCCAGGGCTGGGTGAGTTGGGTCAGATAAAATCCTTCGCCAGATCCTCTGCCTGGAAATGTAAGCAGAGCTCAGGAAGCCCGCGGTGTGCTCCTGCGGGAGGGTGGTGGGTGCCCCTGGGAGCGGTGGGCACCCGGCACCCGTCTCGAAACAGCCTGGGCTCTGCCATTACACACAGGAACGGAGGTGAGGATGGATGGACGGACAGATGACACGACTTGGGGTCTGTCCCTGCAGCACGTGCTGCCCAAACCGTCCTGCAGACAGCAGGATGCTCGGAGCTGTGTAAGGATAAGCAGCTGAATTCCCCCTCCCGAGTACCCCCCAGTCTCTGCGGGGCAGCCACCCCGTTACCAGGCATCGTTCCTGTGATGGCCTCGTTAGTCATCCCAGAGAAATTAACTGTGGGGCACCAGCCTCCTCGACTCTCCCAGAGCCCCCAGTTCCCCACCAGATCACTGGGGCTCAGCACATTTTACCTTGGAGCCTTTCCCTTTTCCTCTCCCATGTGCATCTCGTGCCCTGTGTGTTTCATCCCCTTTTATCCATAGTTTCAGGTTTGACTTATTGACAATGATCCAGAAAATACTGCTCCATGTCCAACCATTTGAACTTATTTAAGCCTCCAGCCCTGGATTAATTGCATTAAACTTGACTGAGCCAGCCTGCCCAGTTGCCACCAAGCCCCGTGCTCCGGTGGCCATGGCGGCGGGGCCGGGGGACACAGGGCACTTGGTGGTTCAGGAACAGCTGCCCTGCGTGCCGGCAGCCAAGGGGCCAGAGCACCCTGTCCGTGAGGCTGGGGTGTGTTGCTGAGCCCATTCACCCCGATTCCAGCAGCTGAGGCTCAGGCAACACCACCGAGCGCCCGCGCCGGGCGGGAAGCTGCCGTGCTTTGCTCCGTGGCGGGGATGCTCCTTCCCAGCCTCCTCCGGCTGCTCCTGCCCTTCTGCACATCCAGGGTTTCATCCCAGCATGTGGAGGAGACCCAGCTCATGAGCTTTGCACTGGTTTGTCCCTCACCAGATGGACACTTTCGGGGCTGTGGGTGCCCCGGGCAGGCTCCAGCACGCTCCTTGGCATGGCAGCGCTCTGATCCTGCTGTACTTACCTTCTAGAATTAGAGCCTTAATTTTTATCCCTGTGTTGAGCACTTGAGAAGCTGTGGTTAAGCTCGTTTAAAGGGGCTTTCTTTGGGCTTGCTGGGAAAGGGGGATGGATGGCGTGGCTGGACAAGGGCCCGAAGCTGATTTTCCTCATCCAACATCCGCTCCGGCCCTGCTGCACAGGGAAGGCGGCAGAGGCAGCACCGATGCTCCCTCTTAATCTGCTTTGACCCGCAGTTGTAAATAGGCCAATTGCCGGAGCAGTGCCCGGGGAAGCGTGTGGGGCACATCTCTGCTGGCTGAGCCTTGGCTGAGCCCTCAGCCCGGGTCCTGGAGGAGCCCTTGGTGCCCCAGTGCCTGCCGGGCTCAGCTCCAAGGGGCTGGAAACTGGGATGGGAGGGCTGGTGGGTGCTGGAAGTCCAGTGTCCTCCTGAATCTCCTGCTCCATCCTCATCATCTCTTGCACATGGTTCCTCCTTGTGTTTCATGCGTGCACCCGCCTCTCCCGCATGCAGGTGGGGAGGTGGGAGCCTCCTCCTCACCCCGCACACCAGGATGCTGCAGGCACCAGGATGCTGCAACACGGGTGACCCACAGGCTCGCTGCGCGCTCCCAGCCCTGCCTTGCTGCTCTCTTCCTCCTCATCAAATATGCATCACCCCCTCTTAAGCAAAAAGGATTTCCTTCCCTTCTTTAAAGGCAAGGCTGAAATATTTATCTCCCCCGCTTTCTGCCTCCCCCGGCCACGCTGAGCTCACGGGGCAGGGACAGGCTCCTTCAAAGGCACCAACCCAGAAAAATGGGTTAAAAAAAGAGAAAAGCAGGAGTGCTGGCCTGTGCCTGCCATGGTGTTGGCAGTGAGGGAGGGCTCTGCTCCCTCTCCCCGCAGCCCCAGTGCCAGCCCCCACCAAACCCCCACCAGGATCAAAACCCCACCACAGCCACAGCCTGGGGACACACTTGGTCACCCCATCTCTGCCACTGCAGCGGTTGAGCTCCCGGTCAGGTTTTCGGCAGCGGTGGCACAGCTGTTTTCGGCAGCGGTGGCACAACCCCAGCTTCTGTTTCTCTGAGTCCCCATCACAGTGGGGAGACCATCTTCAGGTTCAGTCATGGAGAAGACAACCTCAGAGCATCGCAGGGGCTGGTCTCTGGGAAGTGCCAATCCCCTGCGATAGCCTGTAACATCGCACCCAGCAGCGCTGCCCGTCCCGGGGACCCGCCTGCTCCTGCCTGACCCCGCCAGCAAAATTGTCTTGTCCCATTCATGGCGACTCATCAATCCCATCTTTTGGAAACAGCATACATTTCCCCAGGCTCGTCTCACCCACTGCCTTTGGCTTACCCCACCCAGTCCATGTGTAAATGCATCAGCATCTTCTCACCCCCCCCTAGCCCGCTCCGGGACCCCTCCGGCGGGTGGTGAGCGGGCTGGGCAAAGCTGTCCCCGCGAGCATCCCCAGCGTGGCAGATGCCTGTGGAGCTGGAAGCTGTCACTTAACATCACCACAGCCCTCGTCCTGCTGGCACAGCCTTTTCTCCCACATCCTTTGGCTTGCCCACCACTTCCCAATACGTGCTGTACATGGAAAATAATGCTGAAGTGGCTGGAATTGTCATGGAACTGTTATTTATGGGGCTGAGATGCTGATCCTGGGGGGGGTTTTCCTGGCTGGGCAGTGATGGAGGCTCAGGGGCACTGGGAGGAGTGTGGGGCATTTCCAAAAACTGCACATCAAGAGGCAACTTTTTCAGGCCTCCCGGGATGCTGAGCCTCCCCCATGCTCTGTCACCCCGTTATTACTTTAATAAAGTGCTGGAGGGGAGTGTCAGAATGGGGAGCCAGGGTCAGGCTGGGCAATTACAGGGCTGCAGCCTGGCACTGCGTGAGGCTCGGGTCAGCTCAGGGGAGTCACTGCAATTAAAGTCAGTGCAGAGCGCAGGACGTGGATGTTCCCGAGGGCACTTGTGGGCACCGACCCAGACCCATGCCCCAGCCGGCTGCAAACACGGCCCTGTCGCTGGCAGGCAGGACCAAGGGGGGTACAAAATGGACTGGGGGGGGTGTGCTGGGGGCTCCCTGGCTCTTCCCTCCCACACTTGGTGTCACCCTGCCCTGCCTGGACGCCGATGCTGGCTGCCCTCTCTGACACATTTCTGCCTTTTGACTATGCAGAATCAGCAGCACACAGCCCCAGAGCCGCAGTCGCTGGCACAGCGCAGGGACTGCGCCCGCCCCGGGCTGGATGCGGCCATCGCAGGGAGAGGTGTTGGTGTGGCGAGGGCTGCGCCTTTCTCAGCTGTCCCAGTGCAAGGGATGGGGAACACCCTCTGCGAGGGGACAGGGTGACACTGCAGATCACGCCGTGGGGATGGGAAGGTGCTGAGCAGCACCCGGTGACTGACCCCAGCCGGGTTTCTCCCCCACGGGGCATCGGGACAGCTCTTGCCCCGCTCCCCGTGGTCTCTAAGCCATCCATGCAGGCTAAGGCTTAGCTCAGCAGCTCCCAAGCTCCCAAGTCAAAATTGATTCAGCTGCTGCCATCGCTTCCACCCACCCACCCACATGCAAATAAGCCCAAATGTCAGGAGTAATCGCTCCAGAGGAGGAGGAGGAGGAGGGGAGGGAAATTTCCCAGGCTCTGCACCGCGGTGCCCAGCCGTGCCACAGCTTACCTGGAGCCTGGGTAAGCCAGCGCCCCAAGGACACCCCCCCCCAGCCCCAACCCCACGGGAGATGGCTGAGGCACCCCCTGCACCCCAAGGGACTGGAGGTGCGTTTGGGAGCCTCTGCTGCAGAGCAGCCCTGAGACATGGGAGCCTGGGGCGAGCACCCTCGGCCCTGCTCTGGGTGCACCCATCTCTGGGACACCAGGAACGGGCTCCTCTTCTCCTGGCTGAGGCAGGGCAGAGCCGTGGGTGCTGCCTGGTTGTGGTGCTGCGGGCAGCACCGCGCTGGCTGGGCGTAAAATCATTTACTTTGCCCCCTTCCCACCCAGCCAGAGCCCTCCTGGTTGCAGCAGCTTTAAATAAGCCCCTGAGTGTCTCGCTAATCACCTTGGGCTGCTCTTCAGGCAGTGCTTGAGCATGGGGAGACTGTGCACGGGGCCCTCCTCACCCTGAGGAGCGAGTGGGTCCCCCCTTTTCCCTCTGCGAGCCCCTCAGGAGACGGGGTCCCTGGGCACTGCGCTGTGCCTCAGTTCCCCCACTGGATTTGCTGGTACCAACCTGTGCACGACAGGTTGCTCCCATCCAGGGTGGGCTGTGGGCAGACCGAGGCCGAAGGCTCAGCAGCCCCCCGAGGGCAGGGGGGCTAAGCTCCCTCCTGGTGCTGCTCAAAGCTACTTAGAGGAATCAGATCGTGGGGATTTGTTTCCTAGAGTGCCCAGCTGGAGAAGTGCTGGCTGGCTCAGCTCGCCCAACGTGTCCTCAGGGGAGAGGCTGCTGGCCCACCCCTCCCAGTGAGCCCCCCCGCCACCTCCCTGGGACTCCCTTGCTTCCCTGACAGCACCCCAAGCAATGCTTTCCTGGGGAGGGGCTGCCTGCACCCAAAAGGGCCCCTGGGGCAATGGGGTTCTCCAGGCTTGGGGCTGCTCCCTGCCCCCAAAACTGTGAATACGGGGCCGCCGCAGCTGCTGAGGCAAAGCAAATGGGACAGAGCAGCTGGGCAGTGGGTGAATTGGTGCCACCTGGGCACCCCTGTGTTAGATGAGGTGAAATGTGCTGGGTTTGGGGTTCGTCCTGAGCCTCAGCACCAGCTCTCCAGGAGCACCAGGACAGGGCAAAGCGCAGCCATCCACTCCATGGCACAACTGCAGCTACGCTGTGCCCCAGCCAGGCACCAGCCCTGCTGAGAAGGACCAAACTCCATCCAACTCCCTGAAACCACCCTCCGGCTCCAGCCAAGCTCCCCCAGCCCAGGGCAGGGCCACCGGGCTCTGACACAGGGCTGATGCCAGCAGCTCTGCCGATGCCACCAGCACGGGTAACGCAGACAAGGCTGTTTGTTTGCTCGTTTCCCCACGGGACTGGGCAGCCTGTGCGCGGCCAGACCCCGTTAGCATCCATCCCCCACCCCAATAACACATCCAAGGGCCGAGAGTGACATCTCCCACCCCCGGCATGGGGACAGCCCGCGGCCGGCGGTGGCATCCCCCAGTGCTCCCCAGCACGGCGGCAGCTCACCGTCCAGCCGCCCCCGTCCGTCGTCATGTCGCAGTAGACCTGGAAGCCGGAGGGATAGTGCGTGGGGAAGATGGAGTAAATCCCATCCTCTTGCTGTCCGCTCGCGTAGATGTCAAAGCAGTCTCGGGGCCGGGAGCCTGCAGCGTGGCATTGGGATGGGGTGGGTCAAGAGGAAAGCTGATTAATTAATGATCTAATTTAATGTCTTGCCATTTCTTTCAGTCTCTCAACCTTGCTGCCAGCTCTAGTTGGTGGCTCGGTGCTGCCTTGCTGTTTCTCTCCTTTCTCCTTCGATGCTCAGGGTAAGCAGTGCCCGGGGGGACACAGCCACCACGGGGACCCCCATCTTGGCAACTGTCAGGGACTGACCCCATGTCCCTGTGTGACGGCAAGGGCAGGCTGGGACCCAGCTGGGGAGGAGGGAGCCGATGCCTGGAGGCAGCTGCAGGCACCATGTGGGCATGTGCTCGTAGCCCCGGGACAGTCTTACTCAGCTTCATCTTAACCAAATGATGATAAATGTGACTGTTTATTCCGAGTCCCATGCAGCGCTGCCCTCTGCACCCCAGTGAAGGCAAACGGTCACATCTTGCTCTGTTTTTGCCTCAGCTACATCTGCGTGGAGAATAGGGGTTCTGCAGGGGTGTAAAGTGGCTTTTGTGCTGGCTGGTTTATGGACAACTGGGGGGCCGCATGGTGAGAAACACCCCTTCTAGGACACAACTTTCCATCTCCCTCCTGCTCCATCTCCCCCATCTACACACCAGCCTCCCCAGTGTATTAAATCCCTTCTCCAGACTGGTTTCCCCCATCTTGAGTGGTTTTCTCCCACCCCTCTTCTTAGGTAGAAACCTGCCGAGAGCAGCCCCGGGTGCACCCCTCTCCTCGGGGACACCATCTCACCGTTGGAGCAGCCCCGGGGCCGCGCTCCCCTGGCTGGAGCTCGCTGCAGGTCAGCCTTGAGCCGGGGCCGGGCGCTGCCACGCTCCTTCTGCAGCGTGTCGAGGACGTCGCTGACGGAGCTCACCAGCCGAGCCATGTTGGTCTGGCTCTCTGAGAGCAGCTGTGGGCAGCGGACACACAGGGGGACAAAGAATTGGAGTTTAATGTGGTTAAAACCCTCCCAGGCCCCAGGCCCTTGACCACCCTGCTGTGAGGATGCTCTGCCTGCTCCCACGGCTCCTCAGGTGCCTGCAGGTAGCAACACTCCCCACCAGGGTACGGGCTGGTGGGGACCAGGTGGGGACATAAAAGCCACAGCAGATCCCATATGGCATGTCCAGTGCTCTTTGGCCTGGGGTCAGGCTCCAGATAGCACCTATTGCCATCAGGGCTGAGAAATCCCCAAACTTGGGTGTGTTGGTGCCACCACCCGTGGGATGAAGAGCATTTCTGGACAAGGGATGGGATTGTGGAGGTAGCAGGGATAGCTGTGTCCTGAGACAGCCACCCGCTCTCTGCTGTCCCCTGAGGTGACCTGGGTCAGGCGAGTGACATGGGGTGGCCATGGCAGAGCAGCAGGATGAGGAGTGAAGCGAAGCAGCGGGGATCAAGCAGCCCCATCCGGAGGGAGATGAGGGACAGCAGACCCCCGCTGACATAACCAGGTAAGTATTTCAACACAGCTCATCGCCTGGGAAATTTTTGGAACTGTAAATAAGTGGGGGCTGATTGCTGCATGAACCACCCTTGGGATGGTCCTGTGCTGTGCTCAGCTCTGCTCGGAGCCCCCAAGCTGGACCCAAAGCTGGGAGATCCACAGCGTGGGAGACTGCTCACCCAGCTCGTTGGCACTGGGGCGGTTTGGCAGTGAGACACAGGAGGCTGATGAGCTGGAGCTGAATTTCTGCTTCCTAACTTGGAATTCCCAAGCACCCACCTTGAACCTCAGCTCCTTCTGCTGGAGGCCACCCCTGGACACCACGGGGAGATGGGAACAGGGGGGGTCTGTCCCCAAGGAGCACTGTGTGGCACTCCCAGCCCCGGCTCACCTGGATGAGCCTGCCCTGCTCTCCCTGCAGGGCGCTGAGCTCCTGCCCCATGGCGCTGTGCCCCTTCTTGAGGCCGTCGCAGTCGGCGCGCAGCTGCACGGCGTGTGTCAGCAGCTTGGCCACCTCGTCCGCCACCGTGACCAGCAGGGCCTTCTGCTGGCTCTTGGTGGCCTTGGCCTCGGCATCGTGGTCGGTGACGGCACGCAGCAGGGAGGTCTGCAGCCCCTCCAGGCGCCCGAAGGTGCCCGCCGTGTCAGGGCAGTTGGGGTCGATGAAGATGTTGATGCGGGAGCTGTCGGCTTTCTCGATGGTGACCAGCGCGTTGGCTTCCTCAGGGTTGGTGCTGATGACGGGGGGCGACTCGGTGACGGGTGTGTGGTAGTGGTTCATGAAGAGGATGGCCCCCGTGACTGTCACTGCCAGGAGGACGGCCACCGAGAGCAGGACAGTGCACAGGATGTACCCGCAGCTCATCCTCTGCGGACAGAGAGATGGATGCCATTGGGACCCGTCTAGACAGACCCATCCCAGCTCCCCTTCATCCGAGAGGTGGGTTCAAACCCTCCCAGGATTCGGGGGGTCCAGTAATAAGGGAGGTGAGGTTGGACATGGTGGGTGGTGGCAGAGGAGGGGCTGTGGGGACCCCAGGGAGCCCTGTGGTTCTGTCAGGGACGCAGAGGCCACGGGCGAGCGCTCAGCAAGCAAAGCAGCTAAACCCGCCTGGGAGGCGGAGGTATGAAATAATAAAGAGAGCGAACGTGTAGCAGCCGCCTGCTCCCACTGGCATGTTTTATTTAAGGCGGTGATACTCAGCTGGAGCAGCCCAGGCTCTCAGGGAGTAGCGTGCAGGGCTCCCCGCTGCCCTGGGCACGAATATGGGAAGAAAAAAGGAAAACATCCCATGTCCCCCAGAGCAGGGACAGCGGGGGTAGCAAGGAGGTGAGGGAAGGCAGGGGCTGTCCCCAGTAGCTGTGGGTCGATGCTGGGGCATCTCCCAGCTGCAGGGTACCATGTGTTCCCAGCTCCCTTGCACCCTTGCTGTGTGCTGGAGCGGAGCAGAGCTGCTCCCAAAGCCCTTGGACCTGTCCCAGGGCCTCCCAGTGAGGGGGGGTCACTGTGGGAAAGGTCTCCAACCCGCCCTGAGCCTTTCCAGCAGCTCTGCTGCCGCCGGCACCCATCGGCTCAGCCCATGGGAGCTGCTCCGTGCACACCAAGAGCCTTTTCTCCTTGCAGAGCGTGAAGTGCCGAGGCCGTCAGTGCAGAGGGAGCAAGCTGCCACCCAGCCTCATCAGCCCCCCGTCCCCCCCGCCACCTCCCCTTCTCATTACACCTGCAGGACAGAGGCTGTGATTTTCCCCTGACCCTGGTCACGGCTGTCACAAGGAATTGCAGGGCTGCCAGAAAACTGCAGATTCGGAGAGACAAAGACTACTTTCCCCAGAAATGAGGGGAAAATTGCTGCATCTGCAAAGATTTCCCAGGCCCTGTCCCCTCCTGTGCACATCTATCTGGAGTGACACCTTCCTTCAAGCACCCTTCATTTCATTCACGCTCCCGCAACCATTTGCATTAAGGTGACCCCAGCTGCGGCGGGGCTGGCCAGCCAAGGTCTGGGGGGGCCAGGGATGCCCCATCAGCCACGGGGGATCCTCCAGGTTTCTTCCTCAGCCTGCGGAGTGAGGCTGGAAACGCAAAAGGCGCTGGGCTGAAAGGGAAGCCACCCTGCAGGGACCTCTGTAATGAGGCAGCCCCAGGCTCAGCTCCCCAGCGCGCATTAAAAGGAGATGTCAAAGGCAATAGGGGAGCTTTCAGCAAGCAGAGGGTCAAGGGAGTTTGCCCTGTGTTTGCAGACATGAAATCCTGGCTTGGAGGCATGAGGGGCACCCGGTAGCAGGATGGTGGCAAATGGAGGTGGGAGTTGCCCATCGCTGACATCCTCACGGGGACACCCAGGACCTCGGCGTGACCGGGTCCCTCATCACCCTGCAAGCACAAAGGGACAGGAGGGATGGCTGCTGACCAGAGGCCAACGTCGGGTGGTTTGGGATCCGTAGGGTGAGCAGGGACCGTGTCCCCGTGGCTGTCGCAGCGTCTTCAGCTCCTCAGCTCTGCGCCCCCCTGTCCTGCACACTGCTGCTCCCCACTGTGCTGATGTCCCCAGCCTGAACCGTGCCCACTGGGACACCTGGATGGGCTGTGACAGCCGAGGGACCTGTCTGAGCATGAAGGGTTCCAGGAGCAGAACTGCACGGGCAACGCTCTGCTTCCCGTGGCCACACAAATCCCAACTGGGTGATAACACACCAAAATCCTGCAGCTCTGCCTGGGAGCTCCAGCATCTCTGCCCTCCCACCCGCACCAGGAACTGGGGCAGGAACTGGGGGATAATCCCCTTCGCAAGTGAACCCCTCTGTTTGCGACCGCTAGATCCCAAGCGGTGGCAGCTTTACAGGTCCCATGGCATTTTTCTGGCAGGTTGTGTTACCTGGCAACCTGCGGTGGGGAGAGGAGGGAAATGCTCAGCCAGCGGCACCAGCAATGCTCCAAATTGGGGTGTGGGTCCCCCCAAAGCCCCCCAGCACAGCAGCTGCATGCCCAGCTCCCTGCGTGGGGCCCTGCAGACGCTTCTGCTGCAAGCTCCTGCCCCCACCATGCCCACAGCCCTCATCACTCCAGGGGTTGCTGCTGTCCTTACGTGGGCCTTGGGCTCCTGGATCTTCTCGCCAAGGCTCTCAGGAAGCTGCAGGACATCCCCCTGCCCCAGTTATTGGTGTCCCCCTGGGGACATCCATCAGGCTGGAGATCCTGATGTCTCCAAATCGCTCCTTCCTAAGGAGAGCAGAAGCTGCGAGGCTGGGAGGTGCTCGGGCCAAGCAGAGCTTCCCTTGCAAACCTGTTCTGGAGCTGGGGCTGGAGCTCGGGAAGGAGCCCCAGGCAGGAACTGAGGCACTGTTGCCTTCCCGGTGCAAAGCTGAGCCGGGCTCTCTGTGCCCTGCGCTGGCTCAGGCTGTATCTCAACGCCTGGCCACTGTGCCCCCATGTCCATCATCCCCTCCATCAAGTGTTCCCCGGCTTCCTCAGCCAGCCAGCCAGGCGAGTGGCTGTGCTGGGGGGAGGACACAGGGGCTCTGGCACACGCAGCCTGTGGGGAGGGAAGGACACGAGCTGGCATGTCCCCGGGACAGCCGGTTCAGAGTCAGAGGTGCGCTGGACCCGAGGAGCGTGGACGGATGGAGAGCAGTGGCAGGAGAGGCTGAGCTCTGCCGTGGGAGATGCTCTTCGAGGAGGAGATGCCCTTTGCTCCTGCCAAAGCTGCTGCTCTTTGCCAGCTCGCCCGGCAAGCTCTGTGCTGTGGGATGGCGGGCAGCGACCGCGGGCAGCGACCGCGGGCAGCCCTGGGTGCTCCCCCTCTGAGCCGTGCCCCCAGCCAGGTACAAACCAGGACCCTGGTTGTGCTTCTGAGGCGGGTGGACGCTGTGGTTTGCATCACCCAGGCTCAACTGCTGGTGCAAACTTTAGTCCAGGCACCCCCACCTTACTTCTGGGGTCCACGCAGCTCCAAAGGACCCCACAGCAGCAGGGGCCAGTCCCCTGCCCCCCCAAGCCCTTGCTCACCCCAAGCAGCTCATTTTGCATCCCAGCCACCCGCCCTGGCCCTCTCCACCCAGCTCCGCTGCCGCTCAGCTTTGCGCAGGGCTGCAGCCCCCATCCCTGCTCACCCTGGGGCAGGGGCTGTACCCCAGCTGCCCCCCCTG